CTGGTGTGGCAGCAGCAGGAGCCCAGTGAACGAAAGCTCAGCTTCCTACCACACAAGTTTCCGAGCCTTCGGGCTGTGCCTGCCTATGGACGCTTCATCCATGAGCGCTTTGAACGCTGCCTGGATCTCTACCTGTGCCCACGTCAGCGCAAGATGAGGGTACTCAGGGGGGCGGTATACCTGGGCAGGGGTATGGGGGGGACGGTACAAGGTGACCGACCACATGCTTTCCTGCCCCAGGTAAATGTGGACCCTGAAGACCTCATCCCCAAACTGCCTCGCCCACGAGACCTGCAGCCTTTCCCCACATGCCAGGCCCTGGTAAGCAGGTGGGATGGGCAAGCAGCACACTCCTGGGTGTCCATCTCCTCACTGCCCCTTGTCTGCAGGTCTACAGGGGTCACAGTGATCTCGTCCGCTGCCTGAGCGTCTCCCCAGGGGGCCAGTGGCTTGCTTCAGGTGGGCCTAAATTCAGGGAGCCCCAATGTGGGGGCCTGGGTGGGACAGTGGGTGCTGAGTATCTATCTGCTGTGTCTAGGCTCAGATGATGGCTCGGTGAGGCTCTGGGAGGTGGCCACTGCCCGCTGCATGAAAACTGTGCCTGTGGGGGGTGTGGTGAAGAGTGTTTCATGGAACCCCCACCCCACCATCTGTCTGGTGGCCGTGGCTGTGTAAGTGCGAGGCTGGGGGTGGGCAGCTGGGGCAGCAGGGGCTGCGGTGTCTGAGGGGCTGTGCTGGCTCTGGTCTGCAGGGAGGATGCAGTACTGCTGCTGAACCCATCCCTCGGGGACCGGCTGGTGGTGGGCAGCACGGACCAGCTGCTGGGTGCCTTCACCCCACCCCAGGAGCCTACCCTGCAGCCTGCCCGCTGGCTGGAAGCCTCAGAGGAGGAGCACCAGAGGGGCTTAAGGCTGCGCATCTGCCATGGCAAGGTGTGGGGCGTGGAGGGTGGGGGGCATGGGAGGGGTGGAGAAGGACCCTGCTCAGCCAATCTCGTCTTCTGCAGCCAGTGACCCAGGTGACCTGGCATGGGCGTGGGGACTACATGGCTGTGGTGCTGGCCACCCAGGGCCATACCCAAGTGCTGATCCATCAGCTGAGCCGCCGCCTCAGCCAGAGCCCCTTCCGCCGCAGTCATGGACAGGTGCAGTGTGTGGCCTTCCACCCTGTCCGTCCCTTTCTGCTGGTGGCCTCGCAGCGCAGTGTCCGCCTGTACCACCTGCTGCGCCAGGAGCTCACCAAGAAGCTGATGCCCAACTGCAAGTGGGTATCCAGCTTGGCCGTACACCCTGCAGGTGAGGGTGACGGGCTAGGTGTACTCTGCAGGTGGGGGCATGAGGGGGGCATACCCTGAGGGTGGCGCCACTGGGCACCAGGTCCCCACCACCACATGTACCCCAGGTGACCACATCATCTGCGGCAGCTACGACAGCAAGCTGGTATGGTTCGACCTGGACCTTTCCACCAAGCCCTACAGAATGCTGAGGTGAGGCCCCGCCCGCACGTGTGTGGGTGTGGGGGTTGTCATGGGCTGGGCCTGCCCTCAATCAAATCCCTTTCCCAGACACCACAAGAAGGCCCTACGGGCAGTGGCCTTCCACCCCCGGTATCCGCTCTTCGCATCTGGCTCTGACGACGGCAGTGTCATCGTCTGCCACGGGATGGTGTACAAGTGAGTGCTGACACCTGCCTGCCCCCCCCACCCCAGGGGACTGCCCCCATTTGAGCCCCTCCCCTCTCCCACAGTGACCTGCTGCAGAACCCACTGCTGGTGCCCGTGAAGGTGCTGAGGGGGCACACACTGACCTGTGACCTGGGCGTGCTGGACGTGGCTTTCCACCCCACCCAGCCATGGGTCTTCTCCTCAGGGGCTGACGGCACCATCCGCCTCTTCACTTAAGGTGCCTTGCCTGCTCTGGGTTCAGGCAGGTGCCCAGGACCCTCAATAGAGATGTTTCTCTCTCTGACTAGTGGTGTTACCTTGAATTTGGGTTCCTGACTAGCTACCCCCACTACCCTCACTCAGTCTTCCCAGTAGGGAGTGGGGGAGATCAGATGACCTCTCCCATGAGGAAAGGCCAGGGCATTGCACTTTCTTGTCACCTGCTTAGGAGTGAACTGCTTTATTGGAATCAAGGTGGGGGGCACAGACTGCCCTGTGCTGCTTGGTCCCCAGTGTGGGCCAGGGGCAGGAGCTCCTCAGACCGTCTCAGAGGTCCTGGCTGGTGCTGCTTATGGGGGGCATCATGCAGGAGCCTCAGGCGAACTTCACCAGGCGGCCCAGTGTCTCAGCAGCTTTCATGCGCACTGTGGGGGCTGGGTCCTTGAGCAGGAGCTGCAGGGCTGGGGGACAGAGCTGCTGTGGGGCGCCTCCATGGCCCTCCAAGAACTGACTCTGAGCTGGGGTCCCCGCTCAGCCGTGCTAGGACTCGTCCCACCCCCTTCCTGGCACAGGACCCCATGGAGCACGCCTACCATCCTCCTAAGACAGGCCTCTGCTGGGAGGGCTCAGGAGCCAACGGAAAGATAGTTTTTCCTTTTTTAGTGTTTTTTAAGCTCTTTTGGAACAGTTAGGAAGTTTCCGTGAATTACTAGAGACGATGAGGTCACCAGTGACAGGGAAAAAATCTTGAAATCCAGGAAAATCACTTAGTCCCCCCTGGTGCCCACAGGGTCAGTGGGAGCCATGTGCAGCTGGACAGGTGGGGGTGGTGGGGGCTTCTGGGCCCCTGACCTCATAGGGGGTGGAGGCTGCTCACCAGCAATGAGCTGCTCCAGGTCCACCTGTGACCGATGCTGGGGCTCCACATGCAGCACCAGGAACCCTGCGGGCACGGGTTGGGGTCAGGGTGAATGAGGGTCAGGCCTCAGTGGAGGGGCGGCAAGGAGGGCACTCACCTGTGAGCATGGGGGCAGCAGCACGGATGTCCTCCCAGTTGCTCTTGAAGTAGAACAGGCTGGTGCTCACCAGGCGGCCCAGCAGGTCCGGGAAGTGGCACATCTGCAGAGGCCATCAGCCAGTCAGGAGCACCCCATGAGGGCCACACCCATGCCCCTGCCCCTGCCCCGCCCATACCCCTCACCAGGTGCCTGCATGCTGTATTGAGGAACTCCCCAAAGTGCAAGCCACGGCCCTCCTGCAGGTGCTTCTGGAAGACAGCTGCCAGCTCCTCACACTCCAGGTTGGGGCCGCACATGCGCAGGGCAAACCTGCAGGCCTGCAGTGTGACACTCAGTTCCCATGCCAAGTCTGAGCTCCGCCTGGTTCACCCATCCCCCACTGGCTACTCACACCAGCCACGGGGGCCTGGGGGTCCCGCAGGTGCAGTAGCAGGGGCACCAGCCCACTGACAACCTGCTCCAGGAAGACATCCTCGCAGTCCCCATGACAGGCCTTGTTGAGGTGCCCAAAGAGGCGGATGGACACAGAGCGGAACTCCATCTTCTCCTGGGGGGCACACAGGCATCACCCCACAGGATGCTCCCAGCCTTGCACAACCACTAGCCCTAGGCCCTTTCCCTATGCATCCTTGTCCCCGTGCTATGGACACTGCCCCACCTGCCACGGGCCTGACTGGCAGGGCACCTGAAGCAGTGAAGATGCTGGTGGGACAAGACCCAGGGGTGGGGAGGCCAATGCCAAGAATGCACTGTGAGCTACCCCAGGCCAAATCCACACTCTGGAGGACCTTGGTCCTGAGGAGGAAGCAAAAGTGTCAAGGCACAGCTGCTGAGACCCCAGGAGCAAGGGCTGAGGCTCAGAGAAGAGGCAGGAGGGCCAGGCAGCAGGTGCCAGGCTAGCCTGGCTGGGAGTGGGTGTACAACACCCCCCTCACCCCACCCC